GCCGAGATCGCGCCATTGCACTCCAGCCTGGGTAACAAGAGCAAAACTCCGTCTCAAAAAAAAAAAAAAAAAAAAAAAAAAGTGTTCGGATCACAGGCGTAAGCCACCATACCGAGTCTGAAACATTCTTTTTAAATTTTTACTTAATATGTATTTATTTATTTATTTTCTGAGAGAGTCTTGCTGTCACCCAGGCTGGAGTGCAGTGGTGCAATCTCGACTCACTGCAACCTCCCCATCTCAGGTTCATGCGATTCTCCTGCCTCAGCCTCCCGAGTAGCTGGGATTACAGATGCCTGCCACCACACCTGGCTAAATTTTGTGTTTTTTTGTTTTTGTTTTTGTTTTTGAGACGGAGTTTCACTCTTGTTACCCAGGCTGGAGTGCAATGGTGCGATCTCGGCTCACCGCAACCTCCGCCTCCTGGGTTCAGGCAATTTTCCTGCCTCAGCCTCCTGAGTAGCTGGGATTACAGGCACGTGCCACCATGCCCAGCTAATTTTTTGTATTTTTAGTAGAGACGGGGTTTCACCATGTTGACCAGGATGGTCTCGATCTCTCGACCTCGCGATCCACCCGTCTCGGCCTCCCAAAGTGCTGGGATTACAGGCTTGAGCCACCGCGCCGGCTTTTTTTTTGAGACGGAGTTTCGCTCTTGTCACCCAGGCTGGAGTGCAATGGCGCGATCTCGGCTCACCGCAACCTCTGACTCCTGGGTTCAGGCGGTTCTCCTGCTGGGATTACAGGCACGCGCCACCACGCCCAGCTAATTTTTTTTATTTTTAGTAGAGACGGGGTTTCACCATGTTGACCAGGATGGTCTCGATCTCTCGACCTCGTGATCCACCCGCCTCGGCCTCCCAAAGTGCTGGGATTACAGGCTTGAGCCACCGCGCCCAGCCTGATCCGAACACTTTTGGGAGGCCAAAGCAGGTGGATCATTTGAGGCCAGACGTTCAAGACCAGTCTGGCCAACATAGGGAAACTCCATCTCTACTAAAAATACAAAAAAATAGCTGGGTATGGTGGCACGCGCCTGTAGTCCCAGCTACTTGGGGGGCCTTGGTAGGAGAATCGCTTGAACCCAGGAGTCAGAGGTTGCTGTGAGCTCAGATCACACCACTGCAATCCAGCCTGGGTGAAAGATCGAGTCTCTGTCTCAATAAATAAATAAATAAAAATACGAAAATTAGCCTGATGTGGTAGTGGGCCCCTGTAGTCCCAGCTACTCAGGAGGCTGTGGCACAAGAATCACTTGAACCCAGGACGTGGAGGTTGCCATGCGCTGAGATTGCGCCCCTGCACTCCAGCCTGGGAAACCGAGCGAGACTTCACCTCAAAAAATAAAATAAATGAAAATAAAGGCCGGGCGCGGTGGCTCACGCCTGTAATCCCAGCACTTTGGGAGGCCGAGGCGGGTGGATCACGAGGTCGAGAGATCGAGACCATCCTGGTCAACATGGTGAAACCCCGTCTCTACTAAAAATCTAAAAAATTAGCTGGGCATGGTGGCGTGTGCCTGTAATCCCAGCTACTCAGGAGGCTGAGGCAGGAGAATTGCCTGAACCCAGGAGACGGAGGTTGCGGTGAGCTGAGATTGCGCCATTGCACTCCAGCCTGGGTAACAAGAGTGAAACCCCGTCTCAAAAAAAAAAAAAAAAGAAAAAAAAAGAAAATAAAAATAGGCTGGGTGCCTCACGCCTGTAATCCCAGCACTTTGGGAGGCAGAGGCAGGTGGATGACCTGAGGTCAGGAGTTCGACATCAGCCTGAGCAACATGGTGAAACCTCGCCTCTACTAAAAATACAAAAATTAGCCAGTTGTGGTGGTGCACGCCTGTAGCCCCAGCTACTTGGGAGGCTGAGGCAGGAGAATTGCTTGAACCCAGGAGGCAGAGGTTGCAGTGAGCCGAGATTGAGCCATTGCACTCTAGCCTGGGTGACAGAGTGAGACTCTGACTCAAAAAAAAAAAAAAAAAAGAAATAAAAAGAAAAAAGAATTAAAGGCTGGGTGCAGTGGCTCACACTTGTAATCCCAGCACTTTGGGAGGCCGAGGTGGGTGCATGACCCGAGGTCAGGAGTTTGAGACCAGCCTGACCAATATGGTGAAACCCCATCTCTACAAAAAAATTAAAAAAGAAAAAAATAAAAATAAGAAAAGAATTTTTAAAAAATATTAAAAACCTGGTAGTGCTCACCTGTTATCCCAGCTCCTTGGGATGCTGAGGCGGGAGGATCGCTGGAACCCAGGAGTTGGAGGCTGGAGTGAGCTATGATTGTACCACTGCACTCCAGCCTGGGCAACAGCAGGCTCTGTCTTTAAAATAAAATACAATAAAAAAGTGTCGATGATCACCGTGAATGGGGTGTAGGGCCGAAACCAGGCATCGGCCTCCCTGAGACTCCAGGCACCAGCTGTCTGACCTGCCTGTCTTACCTGCAGAGAAGGGACACTGAGCCCTGAGGTTCGAGCTGGGGTTTCTGGCTGAGGAAAAAATAGGCAAAATCCCTCCAGAGCTGGTCTGGCCACTTCTCCTTCCAGCTCTGTTGGTGATAGTTCTCTCTACAGCCCCTGGCCACCCCTCCTTCCCCCCCACCCCCACCCCGCTGGAGCCTGGGACAGGAAGGGGTAAATTCTAGGACTGCAGATGTTTGGTTACTCCCGGGACAATAGTTCTCTGACTTCAGTCATTAGTGACTTTTTTCCCATAGCTACAATCTTCCCCCTTTGAACAATTGAACTATATTTTCCGTAACGTTCATCACTTCTGCATCTTGAATTTATTCATGTAACAAGGAGACTTGATTTCGGCATCCTCACTGAAAAACCCTCCTCATTGCCCCAAATAGTAGGAAAACCTAAAAATAAATACGAATATAAGGAACCCAAAACCAAGTCCTTGAATACTGGCTGGATACAGACGCCTGCTAAGCCTCAGGGTCACGGAGGCGTTCAAGACACCTTAGCACCCAGCAGAGACTTTCTCCGGGGCTGGGCTGCCCGCTTGTGAATCTTCTCGGCTGGGTGAGTCATTTGTGTCTCAGTTTCCTCCTCTGTAAAAAGGGAATGGCAACATGATTGCAGATGTTTTCAGGAGTAAATGAGTTAAAATAGATTTTTAAAAAATTGAGGACCAGGCCTGGTTCAGATTAAGTGCTCTATAAATAATAGTGTTTTCCTGGCAGCATAGTGAGACCTCATCTCTATAAAGATTTTTTTTTTTAAATTTAAAAAAACTAGCCAGGAGTGATGGTGCACAGCTGAGGTCCCAGCTACTCAGGAGGCTGAGGCAGGAGGATCCTTAAAGCCCTGGAGTTCGAGGCTGCAGTGAGCTATGATGTTGCCACTGCACTCCAGCCTAGGTGACAGAGTAAGATCTCTTTAAAAAAAAAACAAAAAAACAAAAAACAGCGTTTTAAAAAATTATTAGTTAGCCCAAGAGACAAGCTAATCATGTGATTTATCCAAAAAGGAAAGAACACTCCTATCACATGATTCTCTGTTGATTATCGAAGTGCCCAGGGGCCTCTGAAATATACATTTCCCATAGCAGGAAACTGGCTTAGAAAGACCAGAAAGGCTGGGCATGGTGGCTCATGCCTGTAATCCCAGCACCTTGGGAGGCCAAGGCAGGTGGATCATGAGGTCAGGAGTTCGAGACCAGCCTGGCCAACATGGGGAAACCCCATCTACTAAAATACAAACAATTAGCTGGGCATGGTAGTGCACGCTGGTAGTCCCAGCTACTCGGGAGGCTGAGGCAGGGGAATACTTGGACCCAGGAGGCGGAGGTTGCAGTGAGCCGAGGTGGCACCACTACACTCCAGCCTAGTGACAGAGCGAGACTCTGTTCCAAAAACAAGAAAGACCAGAAAGATCAGGGGGTCTGCTGTGTGCACTGAAGCTTCTCTTCTTGGCACCTGCCTGGCATCGGAAGAGGGCCCTTTCTCCTTCCCTGGCTCCTATTTACATGAACCCTGTAGTGTCTCAGTTTTCTTTCTTTCTTTCCTTCTTTCTTTTTCTTTCTTTCTTTTTTCTGATACAGAGTTTCGCTCTTGTCACCCAGGCTGGAGTGCGATGGTGCAATCTCGGCTCACTGCATCTTCTGCCTCCCAGGTTCAAGGGATTCTCCTGCCTCAGCCTCCCAAGTAGCTGGAATTACAGGCATGCGCCACCACGCCCAGCTACTTTTGCATTTTTAGTAGAGGTGGAGTTTCACCATGTTGGTCAGGCTGATCTTCAACTCCCGACCTCAGGTGATCCGCCGACCTTGGCCTCCCAAAGTGCTGGGATTACAGGTGTGAGCCACGGCGCCCAGTGCTTTCTGTTTTTGACACAGGGTCTCCCTCTATCACCCAAGCTGGAGTGCAGCGGCACCATCATAGCTGACTGCAGCCTCGAACTTCCTGGCTTAGGTGATCCTGCCCGCCTCAGCCTCCTGAATAGTAGTAGCTAGGGCCACAGACGTCTGCCACCAAGCCAGATAAATTTTGTACTTTTGCTGGGTGTGGTGGCTCACGCCTGTAATCCAAGCACTTTGGAGGTCAAGGCAGGCAGATCACCTGAGGTCGGGAGTTCACGACCAGCCTGACCAACATGGTGAAACCCCATCTTTAAAAAAAAATTTTTTTTTTACTTTTTTTTACTTTATTTTTATTTTTTTGTAGAAACAGAGTTTCTCCACGTTGTCCAGGCTGGCCTAACTCCTGAGCTCAAGTGATCCTCCTGCCATAGTCTCCCGGAGTGCTGGGATCACAGGTGTGGACCTCTGCGCTCAGCTGCAGCTTCCTCATTTGGAAAACAGCAGGAGAAGGTACGGCCAGCTGAGATGCAGGCTCTGCCAACTCTGGCATGCCAAAGCTCTGGGCACAGGGCGAGCCCCACCAACGTGGGAGCCCAGAGCTATTTCTGACTAGGTCCCTGCGCGCCTGCCCCAGCAACAGCCAAGTGGCCCGGGGCAAGACCGCCCCGCCCGCCCTCCCGGCTGCCACACCTTCCCCTCCACAGCAACCAGCCCCGACACACAGAGGCCAGAGGGCTCGTCAGAGCCACAGGGTAGAAACTCTAGCAGAGGGTTTTGAAAGCAGGTTGTACTTCATTCTTGCTGAGCGAGTGCACGTGTGTGTGTTTGTGTGCGTGCGTGTGTGTGCGTGTGTGTTGGGGTGTGTGTGTGTGTGTGTGTGTGTGTGTGCAGAGTCCCCGGCTCTGTGTTTTTATTGCACTTTCCTGCTGGGCTTCCAGCTGCCCCGCCAGTTCCGGGGAGGGCCCTGGGCCAGAGGCTGTCCGTCCCCCTCCTTCATAAAGTCCTGGCCGTGGGACACCCTGCACAGCTGCCCAGCCTGCGAGACGGGACAGCCGTGTCCCACCCACTCTTTCCCCGGCCAGGCCGATCCAGCCGCTCCTGCCCGCAGCTCCTACCATGGGAGGCCACGTCTTTCTCGGTAAGAACTTCGGGGCCCCCGCTGGGAGGGGCGAGGAAGGTCCCTTGGGATCCCATGGCTGCGTCTGAGAAACGGGAGGCTCTGCTGGTGGCTGTGGAGCCTGTGATGGAGGAAGCCACATGGTCAGGCAGGCACTCAGGAGCCCATGGGGAGAGGGGCTGCTTGCTGGTCCGTGGGCACAGGCACACCCCGGCAGGAACGCCAGGGTGCTCTCGGAGCCTGCTCCCCTGCCTGGAGGGATCCTCAAGCTTTCTACTGGAGCCAATTTGGCATCTGCTCCCTAATAGGGGAAACTGAGGCACAGGGGAAGGAAAGGGGCAAAAAGTGAGTGCTGGGACCTGGAGCGCCGCTGCTCTTAGCACAGCACATAGAAGGACATGAGTGGGGGGGGAAGCCAGAGACCGGGAGTTCTCCAAGCCAGGGACCCCCAATCTGTCTCTCACAGTCTCAGCGGCAGGGGCAGCCCCAGAGACCCCAGTTCTTGCTCCCCGCGGACCTGGCTGGGGCTCAGCAGCAGGTGGAAGGGACTTGGGTGGCTGTGGGTTTGAATTTGACTTTGATCGTGACTTCCCCTCACTCCCTTTCCCGCCCCACCCAAGGTGACTGTAACGGTTATCAGGTCAGCTGGTTGCCTTAGCAACGGGGCAACAAAGAGAGTGAAAAAATGACATTTGGGGCAAAAAACAGAACTTCCCGGACCACAGGGACACAGATCCCCTGGGCCAGCCCCAATAGGCAGGTGTCAGCCCAGCACCCACTCTGGGTGAGAGAGAGAGATAAGAGCCCACCTTGGGGTTCTTGGGGGCACACCTGGGGGGTGCAGCTGCCAAGACCCAGCTTCCCGGGGATTCCCTGGCCTGACTGTCTGTGTCACCCGGGCCAAGTCACAGAGCCTCTGCGCTTAACTTCTCCTCTGTAGGGTGGAACACAGCCCGTCTCCATCTAAGAATGTTTTCAGGGTTGAGTTAGGACGCACACCGTTCCTGGTTCACAGTGAGAAGTCAGTGGATGGCATTGTAACATCGTTGGCCGGGTGCGGTGGCTCACACCTGCAATCCCAGTACTGAGAGGCTGAGGCAGGTGGGTTTCTTGAGCCCAGGGGTTGGAGACCAGCCTGGGCAACGTAGCGAGATGTTGTCTCCACCAAAAAAAAAATTTTTTTTTTTGAGATGAAGTCTCACTCTCTCAGTTCAGTGCACCCTCCGCCTCCCGTGTTCAAGCGATTATCCTGCCTCAACCTCCTGAGTAACTGGAATTACAGGCACGCATCACCATGCCCTGCTAATTTTTGTATTTTTAGTAGAGACAGGGTTTCACCATGTTGGCCAGGATGGTCTTGATCTCTTGACCTCGTGATCCACCCGCCTCGGCCTCCCATAGTGTTGGGAATACAAGTGTGAGCCACCGTGCCTGGCCAAAAAAAAATTTTTTTAATTAGTCGGGCTTGGTGGTGTGTGCCTATAGTCCTCGCTGCTCTGGAGGCTGAGGTGGGAGGATCCCTTGAGCCCAGGAGGTTGAGGCTGCAGTGAACTGTCTTTGCACCACTGCACTCCTGCTTGGGTGACAGAGCAAGATCTTATCTCGAAAAATAAATAAATAATAAGGCTGGGTGAGGTGGCTCATGCCTGTAATCCCAGCACTTTGGGAAGCTGAGGTGGGCAGCTTGGTCGGGGCCAGGAGTTCAAGACCAGCATGGTCAACATGGTGGAACACTGTCTCTATTAAAACCAAAAAACAGGCCAGGCACAGTGGCTCATGCCTGTAATCCCAGCAGTTTGGGAGGCCAAGGTGGGCAGATTGGTTGAAGTCAGGAGTTCAAGACCAGCATGGCCAACATAGTGAAACCCCATCTCTACTAAAATCAAAAACCAGCTGGGCGTGGTAGCCTGTGCCTGTAATCCGAGCTACACAGGAGGCCAAGAATCGCCTGAACCTAGGAGACAGAGGTTGCAGTGAGCCGAGACTGCACCACTGTACTGTAGGGGGACAGTGAGACCCTGTGTCAAAATAAATGAATAAACAATAAATGATGATGATGATTAAATTCTAGTAAGACCCCGGTGGGTTTAGAGAATTGTCTGGAGGTCCTTAGCAGGAAGCCTAAAGAAGGGGTGACTGCCCCACCCCCTGCCCCAGGGTCTCTGCAGGAAACTCACGGCTCAGGGCTCCGCCCAGAGAATTCGAACCAGATGGAACTCAACCCAGAACAGCAGCTCCTCTCCCGGCTTCTGTTTGGGCCACTTCCAAGGCCCCAGATGGAGGCAGCCAGGCCCTGTCGCCTCAGTGTGGGGGTGGAGAACCCAGCTCAGCCCATGCAGACGGGAGAGGCACAAAAGAATCCTGCCTGGGGACCTGGGGACCTCAATCCCTCCATTCCTCCTTCCCCAGCCTCTTCCAGTCACTGGATTCTTCCTGATCTTTTTCTGGGCTCCAAGCCTCAGTTTCTCTGTCTGTAGAATGGGTGTCAACACAGCCCCTGCCTCCTAGAGCGGTTTTGAGCTTTAACGGAGTTACCCGGGGCTTTGGGAGTTGGAGACGAATCTGCCTAGATCAGTCCCACCAGGGAAGCTCATTTCATGGTCAGATCTGCAAAGAGGAACTGGGTCCTGGCCAAGGGAGGAACTAGCCAAGCCCTGTGGCTGGAGAGGAGGAAGAGGGAAAGCCTGACGCTGGCTGGGGAGGGGACACAGGCTTGGGCTGGGGTGTTTCGGCCTCGGTTTAACCCAGCCGGAAGGAGCGTGGAGGTGGGAGTGGGGTTCTCTGCCTCCCACCCACTTAAGCGGTAGTAAATTTGGACACGGGGGCTGAGTGGTCTGGGCACCTCCAGTCTGCACCCCAGACACCCCCCTCTGAAGCAGTGCTCACAACCCACCCCAGAATTCCCCTGGGAGCCCCCTCCAGGGTTGAATTGGGGCGGATGAGTGGTGAGTCATTCCTTCCCTTCGGCCCAGGAAGTGACTCATGCCCAGCCGTTGTCCTGGTCCCCATCCCTCTGCCCAACAACCCCCTTCAGGTCTCCCTGGATTATTGGGGTCCCAGTATTTCCAGATCGGCAGGGACTGGAAATCCCTCCCAAGGCCCCACCTGCCACTCAGATCCCAATGCCCTCCCGTCCCCCACTTCCCTTCTGTTTCCATTCACCCTCCTTTCTCATGGTTCTCTCTCTGCCTCACGGTTTCTCTCTCTGCCTCACTGTCTCTCTCTGCCACACTGTCTCTCTCTGCCTCACTATCTCTCTCTGCCTTACTGTCTCTCTGCCTCACTATCTCTCTCTGCCTCACTGTCTCTCTCTGCCTCACTGTCTCTCTCTGCCTGTCTCTCTCTCTGCCTCACTGTCTCTCTCTGCCTCACTGTCTCTCTCTGCCTCACTGTCTCTCTCTCTGCCTCACTGTCTCTCTCTGCCTCTCTGTTCTCTCTGTCCCGTCTCCTCCTGTGTTCTCTCCTGCTTTCTGTGGGTCCTTTCCTTCTCTCCACCTCTCTCTATCATCATGTAATTTGTCTCTCATCTCTATCTCTGTCTCCTTCTCTGTCCTTCCTTCCTTCAAAAAAATTTTTTTTGAGACAGAGTGTCACTCTTGTTGCGCAGGCTGGAGTGCAATGGTGTGATCTCTGCTCATTGCAACCTCCGCCTCCTGGGTTCAAGTGATTCTCCTGCCTCAGCCTCCTGAGTAGCTGGGATTACAGGCATGCGCCACCATGCCCAGCTAATTTATTTTTGTATTTTTAGTAGAGACGGGGTTTCACCATGTTGCCCAGGCTGGTCTCAAACTCCTGACCCCAGGTGACCCACCTGCCTCAGCCTCCCAAAGTGCTGGGATTACAGACGTGAGCCACCGCGCCTGGCCCTCTCTCTCTCTTTCTTTCTTTCTTTTTTTTTTTTTTGAGACGGAGTTTCGCTCTTGTTACCCAGGCTGGAGTGCAATGGCGCGATCTCGGCTCACTGCAACCTCCGCTTCCTGGGTTCAGGCAATTCTCCTGCCTCAGCCTCCTGAGTAGCTGGGATTACAGGCACGCACCACCATGCCCAGCTAATTTTTTGTATTTTTAGTAGAGACGGGGTTTCACCATGTTGACCAGGATGGTTTCGATCTCTCGACCTCGTGATACACCCGCCTCGGCCTCCCAAAGTGCTGGGATTTCAGGCTTGAGCCACCGCGCCCGGCCTCTCTCTTTCTATTTCTCTCTCTTTGTGTCTGTCTTTTTCTGTCTCTCTGTCTCTCTCTCTCCTTCTGTGTTAGGGTGTCCTGAGTGCTGGGAACCGCCGCTGCACGTGCACCCAACAGGCGGCGATGCGTCTTCCTGTGGGCGGGGCGCGCCGGGGTGAAATATCACTGCTGACTCGCAGGATGGGCCACCAGGGCTGGTGGCAGTTGTGGGTGTGGTGTGTGTGCACCTGTGTCCCTGAGGAAGCCTGCGGGTCCAGAGCATCTTAGAGCCTGGGGGATCCAACGCCTTCACTTTGTTTTTTTCTGAGACGGAGTCTTGCTCTGTCTCCCAGGCTGGAGTGCAGTGGCACAATGTCAGTCCACTGCAACCTCCGCCTCCCGGGTTCAAGCGATTCTCTTGCTTCAGCCTCCCGAGTAGCTGGGATAACATGCCCACCACCACACCTGGCTAATTTTTTGTATTTTTAGTAGAGACGGGGTTTCACCATATTGGGCAGGCTGGTCTCGAACTCCCAACCTCAGGTGATCCACCAGCCTATGACTCCTAAAGTGCTGGGATTACAGGCCTGAGCCACCACAACCGACCACACCTTTGTTTTTACCTAAAGAAATGTAGATGGCAGTAAATGCTCAGGCACTCCAGGCAGCAGTCATGCGGTTCACTCCCACACTACACCGGGGAGTGCGCGCCATCATCATCCCCATTCTACAGAAGGGGAAACTGAGGCAGAGAGGCCCACAGTCTGGGATTTGAACTGGGGTCGCCTGGCTCCAGTCTGTTTCCTTAGCCGCTCCCCGCTGCCCAGGTCAGAGCAGCAGCAGCTGGCACTGAGAACCACCCCCAGGCTCATGGCCCTTCCCTACTCCTCAGTTCCTGAAATCCCATCCCCAAGCCGACCTCAGGAGGCTGAGGTGGGAGGATCACTTGAGGTCAGGAGTTCAAGATCAGCCTGGGCAGCAGAGCAAGACTCTGTCTCTAAAATAATTTTTAAAATTATTTTTAGGGCCGGGCGCGGTGGCTCAAGCCTGTAATCCCAGCACTTTGGGAGGCCGAGGTGGGTGGATCACGAGGTCAAGAGATCGAGACCATCCTGGTCAACATGGTGAAACCCCGTCTCTACTAAAAATACAAAAAACTAGCTGGGCATGGTGGTGCGTGCCTGTAATCTCAGCTACTCAGGAGGCTGAGGCAGGAGAATTGCCTGAACCCAGGAGGCGGAGGTTGCGGTGAGCCGAGATCACGCCATTGCACTCCAGCCTGGGTAACAAGAGCGAAACTCCGTCTCAAAAAAAAAAAAAAAAAGAAAGGTGGGGGGGAGGGCAGAAAGGAGGGAGGGAGGAAGGAAGGAAGGAAGGGAGAAAATTCAAAATATGGTGGTGCACACCTGTAGTCCCAGGTACTCGGGAGGCTGAGGCAGGAGGATCACTTGAGCCTAGGAATTGGAGGCTGCAGTGAGCTGTGATTGCACCACTTCACTCCAGCCTTGGTGACTGAGCGAGACCCTGTGTCCAAAACAAGAACAAAAACAAAAAACCCACCCCGTCACCCAGTGAGAGACTCTCTGGTTTGAGCACCCGAGTTGGATGTGACATCTGCTCACTCTGTTTGAACGACTGACAGGATCTGGGCCTGAGAGGGGTCAGCATCCTCCTGCCCCAAAATGCACCCCCTTCAGCCTCCTTTCCCAGCTCTGGGGTCCCCTCTGACCCCCTTTCCTTTCTCTGTTGCAGCATTCTGTGTCTGGCTGACTCTGCTGGGAGCTGAAACCCAGACCCCTTCCAAGGGTGAGTCCGCTGGGAGCAGACAGCACGGTCCACAGCCAGAGCCCGGGGAGGGCCCTGGACCCCCACCCAGCCCCTTTCAGCCCAGGGAAAGAGAGGCCTCAGGCACCGGAGCCTCAGCACCCTCCCTGTCTCTCCCAGGGCCCCTTTTGTGGCTCCCATTGCCCCTCACCTTCTGACCATGCTCTCTGCTCCTGCAGACTGTACCCGCCGGTGCCCTCTGAACTCCGTGTGTGTCAACGCCACCGCCTGTCGCTGCAATCCAGGGTTCACCACTTTATCTTCAGCTGAGATCTTCTTCAGCCTCACGGAGACGTGTGATGGTACAGAGGCCTGGGGGCAGCGCAGGGTGCCTCCGAGATGATGAGGCATTGCCCAGTGCCAGTGGGGGCCAGAGGTTGTTATTAGGGGCCTCAGCCTCACCTTCCAGATGATCATCATGGGCAGAGAAAGGAGAAAGAGGGCAGGCACGGTGGCTCACGCCTGTAAGTAATCCCAGCACTTTGGGAGGCCAAGGCGGGCAGATCACCTGAGGTCCAGAGTTCGAGACCAGCCTGGCCAACGTGGGTGAAACCCCATCTCTATACTAAAACACAAAAAATTAACCGGGCGTGGTCGCGATTGCCTGTAATCCCAGCTACTTGGGAGGCTGAGGCAGAAGAATCGCTTTAATCTGGGAGGTGGAGGTTGCAGGGAGCCGAGATCATGCCACTTCACTCCAGCCTGAGTGACAAGAGTGAGATTCTGTCTCAAAAAAGAGAGAAAGACAGAAAGAAAAGAGAAGAAAAAGAGAGGAAAGAAGGGAAAGAAAGAGAAAAGGAAGGAAGGGAGAGGGAGAGAGGGAGGGAGGGAAGGAATGGGGGAGGGAGGGGGGAAGGAGTGGGGGAGGGAGGGGGGAAGGAATGGGGGAGGGAGGGAGGGAAGGAATGGGGGAGGGAGGGAGGGAAGGAATGGGGGAGGGAGCGGGGGAAGGAGTGAAGGAAAAAATATGAAGGAGGAGAAGTAAGAAGTGAATAGGCATCACTTCCTGGAGAGACAGAAGCTGGGTGCTCAGGAATCGCAGGTCTGTGCCTCAGTTTACCCTTAAGACTGGGGAGAAGGTACATTCTGGCCATGTTTTCTTCTTCGTTATTTTTCTTTCTTTTTTTTTTTTTTTCCTTTTTTTTTGAGTCAGAGTCTCACCCTGTCACCCAGGCTGGAGTGCAGTGGCCCAATCTCAGTTCCCTGCAACCTCCACCTCCCAGGTTCAAGCAATTGTCCTGCCTCAGTCTCCTGAGTAGCTGGGATGACAGGCATCCACCACCACGCCTGGCTAATTTTTGTATTTTTCATAGAGATCGGGTTTCGCCATGTTGGCCATGTTGGTCTCGAACTCCTGATCTCTGATGATCTGCTGGCCTTGGCCTCCCAAAGTGCTGGGAGTACAGGTGTGAGCCACCTCGCCTGGCTGCGATGGGGTTTAATTTTCTACAAAAAGACTGGGGAGGGGGATGTGGAGCTTCCTGCCCATCCCCCACCTCAGCGCTGTCTACCATGTCCAAATCTAGGATGCCAGCCAGAGAACTGAGACCAAGTGTGGTCTTCAGGAATGGCTTGCTCCAGTTGCAGCACAGCCTGTGCAATGCAACTTGAGATTCTTTCCACAAGATACGAAGAAGCAGGCCCCATGTTGGGGAGTAAGGACAGGGGCCTCTGCCCTGAGGGAACTCACATCTTTGGGAGGTGACTCCCTATCCTGTTGTGTTCCAGACATAAACGAGTGTGTGTCACCATTCAAACCGTCATGTGGAAAATTCTCGGACTGCGTGAATGTGGAGGGAAGCTACTACTGTACGTGCAGCCTGGGATATGAGCCTGCTCCTGGGGCAGAAAGATTCATGAATGAGAGTCAGAACACGTGTCAAGGTAAGAAACACCCCGTGTCCTCTGACGCTCCATCCATGAGATTTGGGGTCACCAGAGCCATTCTGGCAGCTTCCAGAGAGCAGGGTCTTCCAGAGAGCAGGGTCAGTGCCTGGGGTCTGAGATGGGCTGCACCCCCAGCCCAGAGAGGCAGAGTAATGTGAGGATTAAGGGCCGACTCTGGGACCGGCTGCCTGGGTCAAATCCTGATGATCACGTGTGTGGCATTGGCCAGGGTACTTATTCAGACTTCCCACATGTGAGATGTGATAACGTTATCACGCTTTTAATCCCAGCGCTTTGAGAGGCTGAGGCGGGAGGATCTCTTCAGGCCAGGAGTTCAAGACCAGGCCAGGCAACATAGGAAGACACCACCCCTAAAAAAATATGAATATTGGCGGGTACAGTGGCTCATGCTTGTAACCCCAGGACTTTGGGAGGCTAAGGCAGGTAGGTTGCTTGAGCATGGGTTTGAAACCAGCCTGGGCAACATGGTGAAACCCCCCAAAAATACAAAAAAAAAAAAAAATTAATTAGCCAAGTGTAGCGGCCGGCACCTGTAGTCTCCGATACTTGGGAGGCTGAGGCGGGAGGATTGCTTGAGCTTGGGAGGTCAAGGCTGCAGTGAGCCATGATCACGCTACTGCGCTCCAGCCTGAGTGACAGAGCAAGCAAGATCCTGCCTGTAAAAAAAAAAAAAAAAAAAGGCCGGGCGCGGTGGCTCAAGCCTGTAATTCCAGCACTTTGGGAGGCCGAGGCGGGTGGATCGCAAGATCAAGAGATCGAGACCATCCTGGTCAATATGGTGAAACCCTGTCTCTACTAAAAATACAAAAATTAGCTGGGCATGGTGGTGCGTGCCTGTAATCCCAGCTACTCAGGATGTTGAGGCAGGAGAATTGCCTGAACCCAGGAGGCGGAGGTTGCGGTGAGCCGAGATCATGCCATTACACTCCAGCCTGGGTAACAAGAGTGAAACTCCGTCTCAAAAAAAAAAAAAAAAAAAAAAAAAAATCAAACCAAAGCTTTCTTGGAGGCAGGATTTTTAGATATCAAAAAATTAAAAACATTAAAAAAAGAACTGGCCAGGCGCAGTGGCTCACACCTGTAATCCCAGCACTTTGGGAGACCAAGGCAGCAAGGCAGGTGGATCATGAGGTCAGGAGTTCAAGACCAGACTGACCAACATGTTGAAATCCTGTCTCTACTAAAAATACAAAAAGTAGCCGGGTGTGGTGTCGCATGCCTATAACCCTAGCCACAGGAAGCTAAGGCAGAAGAATCACTTGAACCCAGGAGGCAGAAGTTGCAATGAGCCAAGATTGTGCCACTGTGCGCCAGCCTGGGCGACAGAACAAGACACCGTCTCAGAAAAAAAAGAAAACAGATAGTTCGGGTGCCATGGCTCACACATGTAATCCCAACACTTTGGGAGGCCAAGGTGGGAGGATCACTTCACTAGAGGTCAGGAGTTCAAGACCAGCCTGGCTAACATGTATAGAGAGAGAGAAGGGGAAGAAAGAGTCCTTATCTTTTACTTGTTTTTGTTTGTTTGCTTTTGAGACGGAGTCAGTCTCACTGTCACCCAGGCTGGAATGCAGTAGTGCAATCTCAGCTCACTGCACCCTCCGCCTCCTGGTTCAAGCTAGTCTCATGCCTCAGCCTCTCAAGTAGCTGGGATTACAGGCGTGAGCCACCATGCCTTATCTTTTAAAGATAACAATAAAAGTAGCTTTGCTTTGGGAGGCGGGTGGATCACGAGGTCAAGAGATCCAGACCATGGTCAACAGGGTGAAACCCCGTCTCTACTAAAAATACAAAAAATTAGCTGGGCATGGTGGCGTGTGCCTGTAATCCCAGCTACTCAGGAGGCTGAGGCAGGAGAATTGCCTAAAACCCAGGAGGCGGAGGTTGCAGTGAGCTGAGATCGCGCCATTGCACTCCAGCCTGGGTAACAAGAGCGAAACTCCGTCTCAAAAAAAAAAAAAAAAAAAAAGTAGCTTTGACCTTTGTTAAACTTAATGACCTTGGACAAGTTACTTTAATCTCCCTGCACCTCTGTTTACCCATCTGTAAAAGGAGAGTAATGGCATTTATCTCGTAGAGTTGCTGGGAACGTAAATTATATTATAAAAGCACTTAACAGGCCAGGCACAGTGGCTCACACCTGTAATCCCAGTACTCTGGGAGGCCGAGGCAGGTGGATCATCTGATGTCAGGAGTTTGAGACCAGCCTGGGCAACATGGTGAAATCCCATCTCTACTAAAAATACAAAAGTTAGCTGGAGGTGGTGGCACATTCCTGTAGTCCCAGCTACTTGGGAGTCTGAAGCATAAGAATCGCTTGAACCCAGGAGGCGGAGGTTGCAGTGAGCCGAGATTATGCCACTGCACTCCAGCTTAGGTGACAGAGTGAGCCTCCGTCTCAATTAAAGAAAAAACACATAACAGCCCCTGGCTTGCAGAACGCACTCTTTCCGCGATGTCTGTTGGGTTTTTTTTGTAATTCTGCTCTGATGCGGCCCCAGCATGGGTTTCCCTAGGGTGCAAGGATCAGAGAGCAGATGCGAGGCTGCAACCTTGCAAGAGGCGCGGAGCCTTTGCTATGGTCTTCCTTGAGGCACCAGCTCAGGTCAAGAGAAATGGGACTCCAGGCTTTGCCTGTCTTCCAAGGAAGCTGGTTGGGCAGGGGAGGGGCTTCCAGGATCCACCAGGGCAGATGGGAGCCGCGACTCATTCCAAGAGAGGGAGTTAGTGCAGGCTACCACAATCAGGAAGAGGGCTGGGGCAGAGCTGGGAGGTGATGAGACTCAGGACTCAGAAGGTCAGGAGGGCCCCTGCTGCAGAGAGAAGAAAGGGCCCACCGCCGGATCCCAGCCCCACCCCTCCTGGCTGGCATTCGGGCAGAGGGACAAAGAGGGAGGTAGGGTGGGGGACAAGGCAGAGATCCGATCTGTGTACCTGGGACGTGCACCTGCGTAGATCCCAGCAGGAGGCTTCTGCCTGCCACACTGCTAGCCCCAGGAGCCCCTTGCAAGCGGACGTTGTGTGGTTCCACATGCATGTGACTTGACCAGAGAACAGAGTCTTCGTGTGAATTGGAAAAAGACGCCCCTCTCCCAGTGGACACATTTGGCACACAAAGAGTAGACTGATTTTCAGCCCCTGCTCATCTCATTGGCCCAATATCTTTGTGCAGTAAGCAACTTGCACAACTGTACTTGGCAATCATGGTGCCCTCCCAAGGTGCCGTGGCTAGGGGTGCTGCCCACCTGATGCTGCAAGCCCCCTACATGGGATGGTGGTTGTGATTATGGAGGAGGTGTGTTGCTGTGTTAGAAACAGGCCTGGGCTGAGAGAGGGGGACTCAGCCAGGCAGCTGGGCAGAGACATGGACAGCAGGGCTGAGGTGTTAGAGAGACCTCCACGGACATCAAGGCAGGTGATGGAGACAGCTTGCTGGTTTGGAGTAGGACCTACCACCAGAGGTGAGACACTCAGAGGGACCTGGGCCCCTCCCTTTAACCCTCAGCACTCCAGATCTTACTACTGCACCAGAGGACACACACACAGCGGGCATCACAGCCCATGGGGCCTCTGACATCGGGGCCAGGAGACCTAGGGCAGCTCCCTCGACTCCTCACCCACTGTCTCCAGGCATCTCAGGGGTATCCTAGACACCTGATCGCCCGTGCTTGTCCTAATCCTGAGACTCAAGACCCTCCAGAGGGGGCCACTTCCAGAAGCTGAGAACATCTCCCTGCCCCTCTGGCACCTTATTTGCACAAAACAAAACGGGGCTGGCACTCAGGGTATTTCAGGAGCTCACGACATGGCGTGGCGAGGCGCATTCCAGCACAGTATCTGTCCTCTTCACCATCGCGGGGGACTGCCAGGATGAAACTTGCCGCCACGGCTCACACAGGCTCAGCCACACCAGGAACCCCGCTGACCCCCACCCCTACCATAATGAACCCCAAAACCCTGTCCAGAAACTCAGGAGGAGGGCATCTCAAGGACAGGACAACCTTGCCTGAAGATGCCTCCTGATCCTTTTCCTGGCCTTTTAGCCTGAGTTCATTTCCCCATCCAAGGCTCCACCCTGACCCACCCTGATAATTTCTGAGCCTGAAGGCACCTCCGATGATCAAGGCTTGGGAGGATGCTGTGGCCAGGGGTGAGCAGGGCGACATCGACCCCACAAATGCACTCAGAGTGCCGGGAGCTGTGACTCATGCCTGTAATTCTAGAACTTTCAGAGGCCAAGGTGGAAGGATCACCTGAGGTCGGGAGTTCGAGACCAGCCTGACCAACATGGTGAAACCCTGTTTCTACTAAAAATACAAAAATTAGCTGGGCGAGGTGGCGAGTGCTTGTAATCCCAGCTACCCAAGAAGCTGAGGCAGGGAATTGCTTGAACCCAGGAGGTGAAGTTTTGCAAAACCAGACTCGGAGGGTTGGTTGAAGGAAGCGGCTCCAGTCTGGACTAGACGGCAAGAGAGAACGTCACTGAGGGCCATCGCCCCAGCCTGGTCCTCTCCCGAGGTCAGTCCTGGTCTGGACCGCTCAGGGACAGAGACAGAAGCTTGAACCCCATACAGCAGGCCCCACAGGTTTCCACCCCCAGGGAACAACAAGGAACGAGAGGACAAATTCATCTGCCACCCCTCACCCATCAGCACCTGCACCCTTTCCAGCCACCAAGCCCTCGCTCACAGCCGGCTCTGCTCAGATGTGGATTCTCACCAGTCCCTTGTCCATAGATCCCTTCCTGGGGGTCAGAAAAAAGCATCTTCATAGACCCAGGCTGCCAGGCTGGACCTCAGCCTCCGCTGTCCACCCCAGCCTGCTGCCCACTGTCCGGGAGGCCCTGGCGTGTCCTGCAGCATCCCTGACTCTCCCACCCCTGCTGTTGAACTGCATGGGGGTGGCCCTGGCTCAGGAGGGGTCTTGGTCCCTGCCCATGAAGCTGGGTTCCAGAGCTCGTGTGGATGGGAGAGCACCATCCCGCTAGGGCCACTGGGATTCTGAGAATTCAGCCAGCGAGCTGCCACTCTGTGGGAGTCGGGCCCAGGGCCACTGTTGGGAGCCAAGATGTGTTCTGCCTGGGCACATGGCACATCCCTGCATTTGGTTCTCAGGAAGGCCCCACCCTGGCCGTTGCCCCGAATCCTCAGGCTGGGACACCCTAGCTGGGAGCTGCCCAGGAAGGCAGAGGAGAGGGGGAGAACTCAGCTGCTTCCAGCCACATCTGGACAACAGAGGGCCTGGGGCCACCGTGCTCACCATGGGACTCCTCGGTGTGGATTGGAAAAGGGAGGAAACAGTGGTGCCTTCCAGAAGCTTCCATGCCAGGAAACGTGGCGGACCCACAGCCCCGAGAGCTGCTCACAGCTACGGGTATCGTCACCCTCTCCTTCCTCTTGCAGACGTGGATGAATGTCAGCAGAGCCCAAGAAGCTGTAAAAGCCACAGCATCTGCACCAACACCCTCGGCAGCTACGCCTGCCACTGCCTGCCTGGCTTTGAGCCCAACCCTGAGGACCCGGAGCTCTGCCAAGGTAGAGACCCTGGGAGAAGGCTGTGAGGCTGGACAAGGAGCTGGGATGGAGCCAAGGCAGGTCTCACAAAGCAGCCAAGGAGGAGGGCAAAGACCTGCGGGTCCCCACGAGCCCAAGGACCTGCTAAACCCCTGCCTAAGCATTCAGCTCCCAGGAAGATCCCGCCACCGCAGGGAGGTGGCAGGACTTCCGGGAACCAGAGTGCACTTGTGAGACCCCCAGACATCGCCCCTTCCTCATCTGTCACATGCGAGTGGAAGGTGTCACTCCCAGTTCTGAGAAAAAGAACCTCCACCATAGTGAGAGAGGGAGCGGGTGAGAGATTTTAGCTTTTAGTCATGGAAGTCCAGCTCTCATGACTCAGTTTCCCCTTTGGTTTCACCTCCTATAAACTGGGGACCATGGTCCCTGCTGTGCCCTTCTTATAGGGAGACCATCATAAATGCTTTGAAGGTGAAGTTGAAGGTCACCAAGTGGTGGCACCTGTAATAATGGTGTTCAGTGTGGGGCAATGAAAAGACAGGGAGTGGGTACAGTGAGTGGAGGGCTGGCCTGGGCTGGTCGGGGACAGGGTTTGACCCTCTGACTTTGTCCTCAGATGTGAACGAATGCACCTCCGGAAAAAACCCATGCCACAACTCCACCCACTGCCTCAACAAAGTGGGCAGCTATCAGTGCCACTGTCGCCCGGGCTGGCAACCGATTCCAGGGTCCCCTAATGGCCCAAACAATACCATCTGTGAAGGTCGAGAGCTCAGATCCCACGTTCTCAGAGATCCACAAACATCTGATCACATGTTCCACGTGCCCACGCAAACTGAGCAGAATGAATGCTGGAGGCACCCGGCTGTGCCAGGCATTCATTCTTCTGAGGCTAGATGAGAAAAGAGTAGGGGTCCTGGAGGAGCTGGGGTACTGAGGGGGAGGCTCAGGGGGACCCCAGACAGCAGCTGATGACTCCCTGGGAGGAAGGCGTTTCACTGTTTTCATAACCCGTACATCTGCATGCGGCCCACGTGCTGTGCCCAGGTCTCTCCACACTTCCATAACCCACCATCCACCACTCCGAGGCAGGCACTAATGCCGGGAAGAACGAGGTGGGGGCACAGGCAGGAGACAGGACCCTCTCCAGGCTGGGACGGGGCCTGACCCCCTCCTGTGTCCTCAGATGTGGACGAGTGCCGCTCCGGGCAGCATCAGTGTGACAACTCCACCGTCTGCTTCAACACCGTGGGTTCATACAACTGCCGCTGCCGCCCAGGCTGGAAGCCCAAACAGGGAATCCGGAATAACCAAAAGGACACTGTCTGTGAAGGTAAGACCGGACCCTAGAAGCTCCCCAACCCCGAGCGCACAGACAGATGCTCTCCCGCCTAGTGAGCCGCTCGTCTTGTTCCCTACAGACGTGACTTTCCCCACATGGACCCTGCCCGCTGGAGTCCACAGCCAGGTGAGTGGCCCCTGCACGGACTAGGGGGCGGGAACTCCATCCACAGCCTCGTCCGAAACTTCCCACGCCCCGTCAAAGTCTCTAACCCCTGCATCTCCCCTCTCTGCAGAGGCTTTCTCGCTTCTTCAACCAAGTCCAGGATCTGGTCAGAAACTTCAAGCTGAGCTCAGTCAAGGATACCATCCAGGTAAGGGCAGGACTCCCCTAGGGTATAAGCAGCTGGGGGAGGCTGGGCATGGTCACGCCTGTAATTCCAAGCACTTTGGGAGGCCGAGGTGGGTGGATCACGAGGTCAGGAATTCGAGGCCAGCCTGGCCAAGATGGTGAAACGCCATCTCTACTAAGCATACAAAAATGAGCTGTGTGTGGTGGTGTGTACCTGTAGTCCCACTCAGGAGGCTGAGTCAGGAAAATTGCTTGAATCTGGGAGGTGGAGGCTGCAGTGACCTGAGATTGAGCCATCACATTCCAGCCTGGTGACACAGCGAGACTCCGTCTTTTTTTTTGAGACGGAGTCTCGCCCTCTCGCCAGGCTGGAGCGCAGTGGTGCGCTCTTGGCTCACTGCAACCTCTGACTCCCGGGTTCAAGCGATTCTCCTGCCTCAGCCTCCTGAGTAGCTGGGACTACAGGCACGTGCCACCACGCCCGGCTAATTTTGTATTTTTAGAGACAGGGTTTCACCACGTTGGCCAGAACGGTTTTGATCTTATGACCTCGTGATCCGCCCTCGTCAGCCTCCCAAAGTGCTGGGATTACAGGCGTGAGCCACCTCACCTGGCAAAGGTTTTCTTTTCTTTTCTCAACCAGGCCTGACCCTGCTTAGCTTCCGAGATCAGATGAGATCAGGCGCATTCAGGGTGGCATGGCTGGGACGTCGTCTTTAAAAAAAAAAAAAAAAAAGGCCAGGTGCGGTGGCTCAAGCCTGTAATCCCAGCACTTTGGGAGGCCGAGGCAGATGGATCACGAAGTCAAGAGATCGAGACCATCCTGGTCAACACGGTGAAGCCCTGTCTCTACTAAAATACAAAAATTAGCCGGGCATGGTGACGCGTGCCTGTAATCCCAGCTATTCAAGAGGCTGAGGCAGGAGAATTGCTTGAACCCAGGAGCCAGAAGTTGCAGTGAGCAGAGATCGTGCCATTGCACTCCAGCCTGGGTAACAAGAGCAAAACTCCGTCTCAAAAAAAAAAAAAAAAAAAGCCAGATGCAATGGCTTACGCCTGTAATGCCAACACTTTGGGAGGCAGAGACGGGTGGATGACCTGAGGTCAGGAGTTTGAGACCAGCCTGGTCAACTACAGTGAAACCCCATCTCTACTAAAAGTACAAAAATTAGCGGGGTGTGGTGCCGGGCACCCGTAATTCTCAGCTATTTGGGAGGCTGAGGCAGGAGAATTGCTTCAACCTGGGAAGCGGAGGTTGCAGTGATAGGAGATTGCGCCATTGCACTCCAGCCTGGGTGACAAGAGTGAAACTCTGTCTTTAAAAATAATAATAAATAGGCTGGGTGCGGTGGCTCAAGCCTGTAATCCCAGCACTTTGGGAGGCCGAAGCGGGTGGATCACGAGGTCAAAAGATCGAGACCATCCTGGTCAACATGGTGAAACCCTGTCTCTACTAAAAATACAAAAATTTAGCTGGGCATGGTGGTGCGTGCCTGTAATCCCAGCTACTCGGGAGGCTGAGGCAGGAGAATTGCCTGAACCCAGGAGGCGGAGGTTGCGGTGAGCCGAGATCCGAGATCGCGCCATTGCACTCCAGCCTGGGTAACAAGAGTGAAACTCTGTCTCAAAAAAAATAATAATAATAATTAATAAATAACAAAACTAGCCAGATGTGGTGGCACGCTCCTGTAGTCCCTGCTACTAGAAGGCTGAGGTTGGAGGACTGCTCGCGTCTGAGAGGTGGAGGTTGCACTGAGCTATCATCATGCCACTGCACTCCAGCCTGGGTGACAGTGAGACCCTGTCTCAAAAAAAAAAAAAAAAGGAAAAAGGGCCAGGCTAGGTGATATAGACTCCCTTTCAAAAAACAATACCGCTGCGGCTGGGTATGGTGGCTCACACCTGTAATGCCAGCACTTTGGGAGGCCAAGGCAGGTGGATCACTGGAGGTCAGGATTTTGAGACCATCCTGGCTAACACAGGTAAAATCCCATCTCTACTAAAAATACAAAAAAGTAGCCGGGCATGGTGGCACCTGCCTGTAGTCCCAGCTACTCTGGAGGCTGAGGCAGAAGAATGGCTTGAACCAGGGAGGCAGAGGTTGCAGTGAGCCAAGATCACGCCACCGCATTCCAGCCTCGGCGACAGAGCAAGATTTTGTCTCAAAACAAACAAACAAACAAAAAAAAAACAGGAAGAAGGAAAAAAGAACATAAAGACAAAACAGAGCGTGGTGGCAGGCAGCCTGCGCCCGAGGAGCGGTAAGCGCTGAGATCCCACACGTGCGCAGGCACATAGTCAATCCGCTGCTTGTTTCCTGGTTGCTGTGTCATCTCAGTGACTCCCTTGTGCCTGTGGATCTCCAGGGTGGTGTGTCCCCTGGTCGGGGGTGAAATCTAGGTCCTTTAGCCAACCCCTGTGGTCCGATTGCTCCAGTGATTCTGTCACCCCCCCACCCCCTAGAACCTCATCAAATTGGTGGACGAACTGATGGAAGCCCCTGGGGACATAGAGGCCCTGGCCCCACCTGTCCGGCACCTCATAGCCACCCAGCTGCTCTCAAACCTTGAAGATGTCCTGAGGATCCTGGCCAAGACCCTGCCTAAAGGCCCCTTTACCTACCTTTCCCCTTCGAACACAGGTGAGGCCTTGGCCTGCCCTGCCCCAGCCTGGGCCCCGCCTGGTACCTGAGGTCCCCAATGACTGCCCCTCTCCCCTTAGAACTGACCCTGATGATCCAGGAGCCGGGGGACAAGAACGTCACTATGGGTCAGAGCAACGCACGCATGAAGCTGAACTGGGCTGTGGCAGCTGGAGCCGAGAACGCTGGTACCAGCAGCCGTCTGGAGCGGGAGCCCGTGGGAGAGGGATAGAGGAGGTGGGATGGGGGCAGGGGGAGGTTCAGAATATGGAACAACTGCAAATTCCAGCACTTTGGGAGGCCGAGGTGGGTAGATCACTTAAGATTAGAAGTTCTGCCGGGCGCGGTGGCTCAAGCCTGTAATCCCAGCACTTTGGGAGGCCAAGGCGGGTGGATCACGAGGTCAAGAGATCGAGACCATCCTGGTCAACATGGTGAAACCCCGTCTCTACTAAAAATACAAAAAATTAGCTGGGCATGGTGGCACGTGCCTGTAATCCCAGCTACTCAGGAGGCTGAGGCAGGAGAATTGCTTGAACCTGGGAGTGGAGGTTGCAGTGTGCTGAGATTGTGCCATTGCACTCCAGCCTGGGCGAAAGAGCGAAACTCCATCTCACACACACACACACACACACACACACACACACACAAAGGAACAACTGGAAACTCACCCATCAGGAGGGGCTGCTGGCGTCCTCGTGGTGGATTGGCTGAGCCTGAGGTGGACCATCTTGGGAGGGAGGATGGCATGGGAGGAGGATGGCACGGGTGGGCAGCGAGCTTGTCTCTTCCCCAGGCTCCGCCATGGCGGGAATCCTCTCCATCCGGAACATGACGACATTGCTGGCCGACGCTCCCTTGAACCTGGATTCCAAGAAGCAAGCCGAGCTGGAAGAGCTATACGAAAGCAACGTCCGTGGCGTTCAACTCACATGCCTCTCAGCCGTCAACTCCGTCTTTCTGAGCCACAATAACACCAAGGAACTCAGCTCCCCCATCCTTTTCGCCTTCTCCCACCTTGAGTCCTCCAGTGGGGAGGCAGGAAGAGAGCCTCCTGCTCGTCCTGGAGCCAAGGTCTCTGCTCACTCTGCTTCTTCCTCAAAGAGAACCCAGGGTCTTTGCACGTGCTGGGCCTCTGCCTGGGAGGCTCTTCCCCCACGTGTTTCTGACCCCATTTGGGCCTTTCCTAACCTCATTTCTTACTTATTTCTTTATTTATCTTATTTTGAGACAGTTTCCCTCTTGTTGCCCAGGCTGGAGTGCAATGGTGTGATCTCGGCTCATCGCAACCTCCGCCTCCTGAGTAGCTGGGATTCCAGGCATGTGCCACCAGGCCTGGCTAATTTTTGTATTTTTAGTAGAGACAAAGGTCTCTCCATGTTAGTCAGGCTGGTCTTGAACTCCCGACCTCAAGTGATCCGCCTGCCTCAGCCTCCCAAAGTGCTGGGATTATAGGCGTGAGCCACTGCACCTGCCTATTTTATTTCATTTATTTATTTTTAGTAGTAGTAGTATTTTTTGAGTTGGGGTCTTAGTCTGTTGCCACGCTTGGAGTGCAGTGGTGTGATCTCAGCTCACTGCAACCTCTGCCTCCCGGGTTCAGGCGATTCTCCAGCCTCAGCCTCCCAAGTAGCTGGGACTATAGACACGCACCACCACACCCAGCTAATTTTTTTATTTTTAGTAGAGATGGGGTTTCACCATATTGGCCAGGATGGTCTTGATCTCTTGACCTTATGATCCTCCCGCTTTGGCCTCCCAAAGTGTTGGGATTACAGGCGTGAGCCACTGCGCCAAGCCATCTCTCCCACTCTTATGTCAACCTCACAAGGGTAGGTATTTGTGTCTGCCCTGTTCACTGCTGTGTCTCCAAACCTGTTACATTCAGTAGGCACTCAGTAAATGCTCATTAGTGAAAAACAGCCCTCTTGTGCTCAGCCAAGTCCAGGACCTAAGAGTGAGCTCCAGGCCAACCTCTCTGACCACCCCCATCTGCCCACAGGATGTGACACCTGGGCCACGGCAGGAGCTGATCTGTGCCTTCTGGAAGAGTGACAGCAACAGTGGAGGGCACTGGGCCACTGAGGGCTGCCAGGTGCTGGGCAGCAAGAACGGCAGCACCACCTGCCAATGTAGCCACCTGAGCAGCTTTGCCATCCTCATGGCTCATTACGACGTGGAGGTGAGCAGCTGGGGCCATCCTCAAGCACTCACAGGTAACAAGGTCCAGCTGCAACCAGACAGGCAGCCAGTTCTCTATGGAGCCTCACTGGTTGCTCAGATACATCTTCAGGGTGGTACAGCCCTGGTGTTCCCATGTCACCCCCCTCGCAGCGTCTTCCCTTGGCCCCTTCTCTGCGACCCTGCAACTATACGTTGGGTGCAGCCAGCGGCCCCTTTGCCTATCCATCTGGTACCAGTTGTGAGATGTCACTAAAAGCTCCCCGTGTAGAGCATTCCAAGGGAGCACCATTTTCTTTTATTTTTTTTGAGACAGAGTCTCACTCTGTCACCCAGGCTGGACTGCAGCAGCCGGATCTTGACTCATTGCAAGCCCCGCCTCCTGGGTTCAGGTCATTTTCCCGTCTCAGCCTCTGAAGTAGCTGGGATTACAGGCCTGCCACCACCATGCCTGGATAAGTTTTGTATTTTTTTTTTTCTTTGAAAACTCGTTTTCTAAGATTTTGTATTTTTAGTAGAGACCGGGTGTCACCATGTTGTCCAGGCTAGCCTCGAACTCCTGACCTCAGGTGATCTGCCCACATTGGCCTCCCAAAGTGCTGGGATTACAGGTGTGAGCCACCCACCCAGCCTCTTTTCTTTCTTTCTTTTTTGAGACAGAGTCCTGCTCTGTTGCCCAGGCTGGAATGCAGTGATGTGATCTTGGCTCACTGCAACCTCTGCCTCCCAGGTTCAAAAAATTATCCTGCCTCAGCCTCCCGAGTAGCTAGGATTACAGGTGCACACCACCACGCCCGGCTAATTTTAGTATTTTTAGTAGAGATGGGGTTTCAACCTGTTGTGCAGGCTGGTCTCAAACTCCTGACCTCAGGTGATCCGTCCACCTCACCTCCTTAAAGTGCTGGGATTACAGGTGTGAGCCACCGCTCCCAGCCTGGAGCACTGCTGTTTGACTTCAGTAGAATCCATAATTAAGCTGTGCCTTGTCGAAAACTGTAATTAACCAGGCAGAGAAGGGGGGCGTCTGTGGTCCAGGCCGAAAGTCTGGCAAGCACAAAAATGTGAAATCCCTAGACTCACCTACCAGCTGGTAAGAGTGGCCAGATGTAGGAGGGACAAGGGAGGAGGTCAGAGAGGTGGGCCTGTCAGAGTGTGGGGGAAAAAGGGACCAAAAAGAGGACAGGAAGGCCCCAGGCCCTGAAGGAACCCTGAGCACCCGGTGCCGCTCCTAGGACTGGAAGCTGACCCTGATCACCAGGGTGGGACTGGCGCTGTCACTCTTCTGCCTGCTGCTGTGCATACTCACCTTCCTGCTGGTGCGGCCCATCCAGGGCTCGCGCACCACCATACACCTACACCTCTGCGTCTGCCTCTTCGTGGGCTCCACCATCTTCCTGGCCGGCATCGAGAACGAAGGCGGCCAGGTGAGGTCCCGTCCCGCTCCCACCTGAGCTCGGGGTCAGGGAAGCCTGGGAGGGGTTAGCCCCGCCCACTCCCGGGGCTCGGTCGGGGAGGCGGGCCCTGGAGGCTTGGGGCCCCGCCCCTGCCCGGGATCTGGCACCCCGCCCCCTACCGGGGGGCCGCGTTGTCTCTTTAAAGGGCTCTAACTTTGGAGCCGCCTGGCCCTGCCCGGAGTCCCCGCTGGCTTCTGTGAGCGTTGTTGGGGGTGGGCCCTGAGAGCCTGGCCCTACCCCAGACCCGCCCACCCTTCGGCCGTGGTCCCGCCCACTCCTCGCGTCGGCTCTGGCCCTATATGCCCCGCCCCTCGCTGACATCGCCCCGCCTCTGCGTCCCCGCCCTGCAGGTGGGGCTGCGTTGCCGCCTGGTGGCCGGGCTCCTGCACTACTGCTTCCTGGCAGCCTTCTGCTGGATGAGCCTCGAAGGCCTGGAGCTCTACTTTCTTGTGGTGCGCGTGTTCCAGGGCCAGGGCCTGAGTACGCGCTGGCTCTGCCTGATCGGCTACGGTGTGCCCCTGTTCATAGTGGGCGTCTCGGCTGCCGTCTACAGCAAGGGCTACGGACGCCCTAGATAGTGAGTGCAGTGAGGTGGGGCAGGGGGAGGGCGGGGTGCCAGGCCCGGGGCTCACGGGCAGTGTCCCATACCATGGCCCTCTGCCCTGGGTTCTGCTCCTGGCTTCCTGGGGCACTGATGGGACCCGTCCCTTCCATCCCAGCTGCTGGTTGGACTTTGAGCAGGGCTTCCTCTGGAGCTTCCTGGGACCTGTGGCATTCATCATTTTGGTAAGTACCCACTCCCCCTTCAAGCGCCAAGGTCCCAGGCCTGGCTGAACCATCTCTCCCACCCTCTAACCCACAATCTGCTCCCTGCCCAGTGCAATGCCGTCATCTTCGTGACGACTGTCTGCAAGCTCACTCAGAAGTTTTCTGAAATCAATCCAGACATGAAGAAATTAAAGCAGGCGAGGTGAGGAGGGGCTGGGAGGACCTGGGGGAGGGGCCAGGGCGAGGGGCGTGATGCTGGAGGTGGTGGGGGCCCACACTGCAACCTCCTTCCCGCAGGGTTCTGACCATCACGGCCATCGCACAGCTCTTCCTGTTGGGCTGCACCTGGGTGTTTGGCCTGTTCATCTTTGACAGTCGGAGCTTGGTGCTTACCTACGTGTTCACCATCCTCAACTGCCTGCAGGGCGCCTTCCTCTACGTGCTGCACTGCCTGCTCAACAAGAAGGTGGGGGCCTGGGCACGGTGGCGCAGGCCTGTTATCCTCCCACCTACTTAGGAAGCCGAGGGGGGAGGACTGCTTGAGCCCAGAAGTTCGAGACTAGCCTGGGCAACATAGCCAGGCCCTGTCTTGACAAAAAATTCAAAGATAGCCAGGTGCAGTGGTGAATACCAGTAACCTCAGCTTCCCAGGAGGCTGGGACAGGAGGATCCCATGGGCCCAGGAGTTCCAGGTTACAGTGAGCTATGATTGCGCCACTGCACTCCAGCCTGGGCTGGGAGACCTGATCTCAAAAAAACCAACAAAAACACCAAGGCGGGGCTGAGGGCAGAGCATGGGAGGGGCATGCAGGGTCCCAGGGCCTGCTCCTGGCCTGACCGGGTGTCCTGGGCCGGCAGGTTCGGGAGGAGTATCGGAAGTGGGCCTGCCTAGTTGCTGGAGGGAGCAAGTACTCAGAATTCACCTCCAGTACGTCTGGCACCGGCCACAATCAGACACGGGTAAGGGGCTGTGCCTAAGGTGGGCATGTGGGCAGGAAGACACCAGGGCTGGCTTAGGCCTCACCGGGCTCCCCCCTCCAGGCCCTCAGGGCGTCAGAGTCTGGCATGTGAGGATGCACCGCTCTGGATGGGCCAGCAGCTCCTGTGGCCACAGCAGCTTTGCACACGAAGACCATCCGTCCTCCTTCCATCCACCACCCTGCTCCCTCCGCCCTTCCTCCTTGAGCCCATGTGTGCCACCAAGAGGGAGTGGCAGCTATAGTCTGGCACCAAAGCCCAGGACACCCAGTGGGGTGGAGTCGGAGCCGCTGGTCCTGCTGCTGACTGCCTCTCTCTCCCACCTTATGACTCAGGGTGGGGACAGGCTGGCCCAGAACTGTGGCCTGTTGCCCTGGCACCTGTGGCCAGCACTCGGGACAGACTGAGGGCTCTTGTCCCGGCCTAGCCTTTTCCTCTCATGTCTTTGCTGCAGACTAGGCGCTGGGGCTCAGCTTCCCTCTTAAGCTAAGACTGATGTCAGAGGCCCCACAGCAGGGCCCCTTGGGGCCACTACCCGACGCTCACGGTACAGAGGCCTGCCCTGCCTGGCCAGGCTGGAGGTTCTCACTGTTGTGAAGGTTGTGATGTTGTGTAATGTGTTTTTATGTTTAAACCCTTCAATGTTGACACTCAAAATTAAACACACGCATACAGAAGATGGCCTTGACTGCTGGCGGTGACTTAGAAGCCAGGCCCAGGGTGTCCGTGAAAGGCTGAGGTAACCAAGAAACAGATGGTGTGGGAACCAGGCTTCCATAATACACGTTTATTCTTATACAATCTACAGCTTCTGAACAGGGGCGTCTGGAAAGAGGTGGTGGAGCTGCGTGCGGGAGGCTCCAGGTTGGCGGCTCTGGACTGGCAGGGCACGTGGGGGTTACCGGCTCTGCTCAACTGTAAGAGAGAATGCAGTGAGCCGAAGGGCCCAGGGAGGGACCCTCTGCCCCAGACCCCCACCCTGCCCAAGGCACTTACTGTATGTGGAGATGTCAATTTCCTCTGGAAGCTCTGCCACATTAACTTCAAACCGGTCCTGGACGTCATTGAGGGTTTTGGCATCATTCTCGTCAGACACAAAAGTGATGGCTAGGCCTTTGGTGCCAAAGCGACCCGCCCGGGCCACCTGCAGGCAGACAGATCAGGGTCAGGCCACAGATGCCTCCTCAGGACTTGAGGAAAAGCAGGGCTGGGGCCCCACCCCACCGCCAGGGGAGAGCAACAGGCCTGTGAGGCCCTCACCCGGTGCAGGTAGGTGTCCGAGTCCTCAGGCATGTCGTAGTTAAAGACAATGTTGACTCGCTCAATGTCCATCCCTCGGCCAAACAGATTGGTGGCCACCAGGATCCGCCGCTGGAAATCCTTGAACTGCTGATAGCGTGACAGGCTGGGTGCAGGAGAAACAAGTGGAGGCTGTCAGACACTGGGCTCCTGGGTGGCGCTCCCTGCAGCCGTGGCGGGCGACTGGCACTCACCGCTCCTCCTGGGCCATGCCCCGGTGGATGGCGATGGCCGGGAAGTTCTGTTCCACGAGGAGCTGGGCTAGGGCCATGCAGCGCTGCACTGACTTGACGAAGATTATCACCTGCGGAAGGAGGGGTGGTCAGGGCCACACAGTCCCTGTGGCCCAGAGCCCCAGGACTGACTGATGGGTGCGTCACCTGGTTAAACTCCAGCACATCCAGGAGGTCGAAGAGCTTCCGGTTCTTCTCGCTGTCTCTGAGTTTGACGTAGTGCTGCTGCAGTCCGTGTAGCGTGAGCTTGGTCTCATCATCCACAAACACTTCCATGGGCTGTGTGGGAAGGGAGGTGGGAGGGGTGGGCAGGAATCACCTCTGGGCATCTGGCTTGCCCAGAACTTTCCAGCAGGCGACCCCTTTGTGCGACACTTCCCAGAGGGCCTGCTGCACGGGACCTCAGTAAACATCGCTCTACCAAAAGCTGGATGTAAGCTCTGGTCCCGCTCAGGTGTGGACCAAGCTTGACTCCCAGTTTGACAAGACCGAGGGGAGGGAAGGAGGCTCCGCCAGCTCCCAGCATCCCAGCATCCTCTGTGCCATGTGGGCCGTGTGGGCATCCTGGGGCCCCAGGCTCTGTGACCCCGGGGAGGGCCGAAGCTGCCATTCTCGCCCTACTCACATCCTGCATGAACTTCCTGCACACAGGCCGGATGTCCTTGCTCAGGGTGGCGCTGAACATCATGCACTGCTTCTCATGCGGCGTCAGGCGGAAGATCTCCTGCACGTCCCGCCGCATGTCTGGGTGGGGAGGGCAAGACGCAGGTGGGCATGAGCATCTGCCAGGCAGGACCCCCACCCCAGACCAGACCCAGACCCCTCCCAACCTGTGCCAGGGAGCCAGTGGCACTGCGATGAGGGCAGAATGAGCCGAGGGAGGGGCCAGTCCTGGTGCCTGAGGGGCTGGGGGTGGCCAGTGAGCGCAGGCGCAGGAGGAGCTGCAATCCACTTACACGCTGGCGCGGAGCAGCCGTGCCCGTGCGCCTCGAGCCAGGCTTCAGGGAGGGGAGCCTGAGGCAGAGACAGCCGCTGGGGTGAGAGCTGCAGCTGCCTCCCAGGACACAAGCCCATTTCCCACCAGCCCTGTCGGGTCTGAGGCAGGTGGGGCCTAGAACCAACCCAACAGGTAGCTGAAGCCTCACACTCTTAGAGGTACAGGTGTGTGCCTTTACATCCAGGCAGGGACAGGGGTTTGTTTGGGCCCTGTGGTCCCATTCGGCTCGGGCTCAGAGACAGCACATCCCTCTGCCAGCGGCAGAGCTTTCCCTAAGATCACGCACGGGAGCCCCACGTGCTGGCCACCCACATGACCCACTCAAGAGCCTTCCGCCTGCTATGGGCCTGCCTAGCCACTGACTCTCCAGCTGGCGCTGCGAGGGCAGAGGACTCACCGAGCTGCTCCAGCATTTTGTCGCACTCGTCCAGCACAAAGTGCTTCACATTCTTTAGGCTGAAGCTTCTGTTCCGCACAAGCGCCAGGATGCGGCCCGGGGTCCCCACCACAACATGGGGACAGTTCTTCTTCAACACTTCTTCATCCTTCTTGATGGAGAGGCCCCCGAAGAACACAGACACCTACAGGGATGAGGAGGAAGTTGTTCCACGCTGATGTCTGGTCTGAGGCGCCGACCTGCACGGCCCCAGCAGCCCCTCACGGCACCCAATACCTAGTCCCAATATCTGTGAACAGGCAGTCTCGGGGGACCAAGGCAGGCCCGAGAGCCTCCCAGGGCTCCACTCAAAGGCAGCCCCAGGCTGGGACCTGCGCAGGCTCTTGGGAGCCATGCATAATTCATTAGGCTTTTAAGGAGCAAAAACCACCACAAACCTCAAAGGCAGCTGCCCCTGCCAAGCTTGGTAAAGGCTGGCTGGGCCAGAGCCGAGGCTAACAAAGCTGCAAAGACCAAGATTCGCCTGGCCTAGTCCAGCGCGAGGGGCTCACCTTGACGCTGGGCATGTACTTGGAGAAGCGCTCATATTCCTTGCTGATCTGGAAGGCCAGCTCCCTCGTGTGGCACATGACCAGGACCGTCACCTGGGGAATAGCAGGAAAGAGGGCCTTCAGGCAGTGCCCTTTTCTTGTTCTGAGATGGAGTTTCGCTACTATGGCCCAAGCTGAGTGTAATGGCGTGATCTCGGCTCACTGCAACCTCTGCCTCCTGTGTCTGAGCGATTCTCCTGTCAGGCAGTGTCCTAACCCCTTCCTCACCAGAGTCCACCCCACCAGTCCCCCTGACACACTGTACCCCACATCACAGGCCATTTGAAGGCGCAGACCAAATGCCTCCCCCCGCCACAGCCCTTCCTCACCCCTCACTCCCTACATCCTCCCACAGCTGCTGAAACCCCAGCCTCCCAACACCAGGACCCGCAATGAGGAACAGAAAATGGCCTGCATAATGGTTAGATCTGGCCTGCCCAGTGGATAGGGGACCAGTTCTCTAAGGATTTTCTGAGTCTTGGCACTAGGGCTGCCCTGGCCTTCCTGCCCATGCTACCAGACACTGAACCACACCACAGCCCCCCACAGCCCCTTCATCCTTCAGGATATACCGAGATAATGAGGGCACCTGGGCCAATACAAAGCCCAAAGCCGTGCACCTGGCATGACTCAGGAGCAAGACTCCAGAATTCACTCGAGTTTTTCCCCCAAGATGGTGGCACACAAGACAATGGTCGAAGACAGCCAGGGCCTCACAGCAAGGACAGGTGACAGCTGTATTCAGGGCAACCCTACCTTCATAGATAAACACTCTCTAGGTAAGTGGCACAGCAAAACAACAGCCACGTCTCTGGGGCAAGGAGCAAACTGTGGGTGCTTTCCCGTTATTTTGGCTTATTATCAATTTCTGATTTTTGCTATAACTAAGCACTCTTTTTTAAGAGTCTCCCTCGGTGGCTCACGCCTGTATTCCCAGGGCTTTGGGAGGCAAGGCGGGCGGATCACAAGGTCAGGAGTTCAAGACCAGCCTGGCCAATATAGTGAAACCCTGTCTCCTTTAAAAATACAAAAATTGGTCGGGCGCAGTGGCTCAAGCCTGTAATCCCAGCACTTTGAGAGGCCGAGGCGGGTGGATCACGAGGTCGAGAGCTCGAGACCGTCCTGGTCAACATGGTGAAACCCCGTCTCTAATAAAAATACAAAAAAAAAAAAAAAAAAAAAGAGTCTCCCTCTAGGCCAGGCGTCGTGGCTCACGCCTGTAATCCAAGCACTTTGGAGGCCAAGGCGGGCGGATCACCTGAGGTCGGGAGTTCAAGACCAGACTGACCAACATGGTGAAACCCCGTCTTTAAAAATAAATAAATAAATAAAAAGAGTCTCACTCTATTGCCCAGGCTGGAGTGCAGTGGCGCGATCCCAGCTTACTGCGACCTCTGCCTTCCAGGTTCAAGTGATTCTCCTGCCTCAGCCTCCTGAGTAGCTGGGATTACCGACACCCACCACCACACCCAGCTAATTTTTCTATTTTTAGTAGAGATGGGGTTTCACCATGTTGGTCAGGCTGGTCTCAAACTCCTGACCTGGTGATCCACCCACCTCAGCCCCACAAAGTGCTGGGACTACAGGTGTGAGCCATTGTGCCCAGCCACTCTTACTATTTTTTGAGATGGAGTCTCCCTGTGTGTCCCAGGCTGGAATGCAGTGGTACGATCATAGCACACACAGCCTCAACTTCCTGGGCTCAAGCGATCCTCCAGCCTCGGCCTCTCAAAGCGCTGGGGTAACAGGTATGAGCCACCACATCCAGCCTATTCTACTTTGGCCACCACAGGCAGCGTGGGCCCGGGAAGGGAGGAGGCCACCCACCTGTCCGTTGACGGGCTCGATCTGTTGCAGGGTGGCTAGCACGAAGACTGCGGTCTTGCCCATCCCAGACTTCGCCTGGCACAGGACGTCCATGCCCAGGATGGCCTGGGGAATGCACTCGTGCTGAACTGCAGGAGAAGGACAGCATGAGGAACTAGAACTTGGATGTGTCCCCGTGGAGGCTCCTCACCAGGTGGCTGGGGGCCCACAGCGAGGGCAATCAGAAGAGGCCAAGTCCGGACCAGGCTGTAGACACCTGCTGGGCTAGGGTATCCGCCTGGTCAAAGCAGAGCGCCCTGCTGCCGAGGGCAGCCATAGGTCCCGTTGGGCAAAACTGATCCTAGGGGCAGGAAGGCCCCTCCCTCACCCACAGCACACCCGATGCAGCACCGATCTGGGCGGGCAGGGCCAGTCTTGTCTTGGTGAGAGGACCGGGGCGAGAAGACGACACGCGGAAGGCGTACCCTCAGACGGATGCTCAAAGCCACAGTCCACGATGGCCCGCAGGAGCTCTGGCTTCAGCAGAAAGTCCCGGAAGCCAGAGCTGTGGATGGAAACATAGGATCCCTTCATGTCTTTTTTAGCGGGAGCTGGTGTGCTCTCTTGAGGAGCCTGGGGCTCTTCCTCTTCGTCGTAATCCAAAAGCTCGTTTTCCACATCCTGTTCTGCCATGCTGCTGAAGACAGAGAGAGGCAGGGCCCCGCAAGTGAGCACAGAAGGATGATAAAGCTTCATCAAAACAGAATTCTCTGCCGCCTCCTTCCACAAGCCCATCAGCTCCACCTAGGCTGCACCTGCAGTAAGCTGGTGGGCTAAGGCCCGCTGTCTCCACCTCCCCACCCCAAAGCCACCGAATCTCTCTCCCATGCCCTGCTGGCCACGCCCACACGCTCAACACTCCACCTTCAAGAGCTTCCCGTGATTCCCAGAGTTAAAATCCCAACTCTCACCGCAGGCCAGGCAATCCCCTTGGTCTGACCCCTGCCCACCTCATCCCACACTACTCCTAGACTTACTCAGCTGCTCAGACCCCTGGAGCCCCTGCCCCAAGCCTTTGAACCCCACTGTCACCACCAGAAATGCTCTGCCCCCAGTCTCTGCATGAATACCTCCTTGACACAGAAGCCTCAGCTCCTATGAACCGCCTCAGACTACCGAGCCCAGATAAGCCCGCTCTCCATCACTCCCCAAGGAACCCACTGGGCCTGCATGGTGCAGGAGCCCAAAGACCCTAAGGGTGGGGCTGCAGGATGCTGGCAGGAACTAAGTTTTCGAGAGAGCAAGCAGTGTCTGCCCAGCCAGCTTCTCCCGCTCTCTGTGGTCTTCGAGGGGGGATAATTAAGTGCTCTCATGAAAGGCCTCCCATTGGGCCTGGGCCAGTAAAAATAAAGCTGAGATGGAAAATGGAATACAAAGTCTGCTCACCTCTTTGCTTTATTAATCTAATGCATACCAAGTGCCTGCTGGGTCCAAGGAACCCAAACATGAGGACAACTGTCTTTTGTCCTCCTCCCCTACCCTAGACTCTAGTCGGGGGGTGGGGGGAGGGGGAGAGCAGAAGGGCTACAGCTGCTACACTTCTTCCTGAGGCTGGATGCTGAGGATCCTGAGCCATTTCTGGCCCACTGTCACTCATTCCCGGCTCAGAAACAGCAGTTCCATTCTCTTAATGGCTGTTTTTTCTCTCTCAGCCTCCCTGTCCATCAGGCAGTGAATCCCACCAAGGCCCTCCGGCCAGTTCTCACCTATGCTACCCTGCTGGCCCCAATAATAATATCACCTGTTTTTTATTATTAGTTTTTAAAATTAGAACAGCTATACGAGCCAGGCCATAGAACAGCTTGACAGGTGGCTCATGCCTATAATCCCAGCACTTTGACAGCCCTGAAGTCAGGAGTTTGAGACCAGCCTGACCAACTTGGTAAAACCCCGTCTCTACTAAAAATACAAAAATTTAGCCAGGTGTGGGTGGCAGGCCCCTGTAATCCCAGCTACTCGGGAGGCTGAGGCAGGAAAAGTGCTTGAACCCAGGAGGCGGAGGTTGCAGTGAACTGAGATCACACGGCTTCACTCCAGCCTGGGCAAGAGAAACTCCATGTCAAAAAAAAGGAAAAAGCTTTAAGGAGATATTTACATGCTATACAACTCATCACTTAAGGTAGACAATTCAGTGTTTTTTTTTTAGACAGAGTCTCATTCTGTTGCCCAGACTGGAGTGCAGTGGAGCAATCTCGGCTCACTGCAACCTCCACCTCCTGGAGTCAAGCAACTCTCCTGCCTCAGCCTCCTGAGTAGCTGGGATTACAGGTGGCTGACAGGGTGGGGGTGGGGGGGTGCTTTCACCATGTTGGTCAGGACGATCTCAAACTCCTGACCTCGTGATCTGCCTGCCTTGGCCTCCCAAAGTGCTGGGATTACAGGCATGAGCCACCATGCCTGGCAAATTCAGTGGTTTTCAGTGTAGCCACAGACATGTGCAACCACTACCACATGTGCAATTTTAGAATACTTCCTCACCTCGAAATGAAAGCTCCTGTACCATTTACCCATCGGCCCCTAAACACCGCGTCCCAGCCCCTGGCAACCACTCATCTGCTTTCTGTTTCTATGGATTTGCCTGTTGTGGGAATCTTACGATTTGTGACTTTTTGTGTCTGACTTCTTTCACTTAGCAAAATGTTTTGTTGGAGGTTCATCCCCGCTCTGGCACATCAGTAATCCATTCCTTTTTTTTTTTTTTTTTCCCTTTGAGACAAGGTCTTGCTCTATTGCTCAGGCTGGAATGCAGTGACCCAATCAAAGCTCACTTCAACCTCTGCCTGCTGGGCTCAAGTGATTCTCCCACCTCAGTCTCCCTAGTAGCAGCAGCTACAGGCACATGCCAACCATGCCTGGCTAATTTTTGTAATTGTTGTAGAAACTGGGTTTCACCATGTTGCCCAGGCTGATCTCCAACTTCTGTGCTCAGGCGATCCACCCACCTTGGCCTTCCAAAGTGCTGAGATTACACGTGTGGGCCACCATACGATGCCTGGCCTCATTTCTTTCTATGGTCACCTAATTTTCCATCTGAGGAATATACTCCATTTTGCTTAACCACTGTCAGCTGGACATGTAGGTGCCATCATCTCTTGCCTGAGTAAAGCCATCAGCCTCCTCCCTGCTCTCCCTATTGCCATTCCTCAGCCCCTCGCCAGAACAGCCAGACAGATCCTATCCAATTAAGTCACGGCCGGGTTCGGTGACTCATACCTGTAATCCCAGCACTTTGGGAGGCCGAGGCGGGCGGATCACCTAAGGTCAGGAGTTTGGGACCAGACTGACCAACATGGGAAACCCCATCTACTAAAAATACAAAAAATTTGCCAGGCGTGGTGGCGGGCACCTGCAATCCCAATCACTAGGGAGGCTGAGGCAGGAGAATGGTTTGAACCTAGGAGACAGAGATTGCAGCAAGCCGAGATCACACCACTGCACTCCGGCCTGCGCAACAGCGTGAGACAGAAAAAAAACAAAAACTGGCCAGGAGCAGTGGCTCACACCTGTAATCCCAGCACTTTGGGAGGCCGAGGCAGGCGGATCACAAGGTCAGGAGATCAAGACCATCCTGGCTGACACGGTGAAACCCCGTCTCTACCAAAAATACGAAAAATTAGCCAGATGCAGTAGTGGGCGCCTATAATCCAAGTTACTTGGGAGGCTGAGGCAGAGAATCGCTTGAACCTGGGAGGTGTAGGTTGCAGTGAGCCGAGATTGTGCCACTGCACTCCAGCCTGGCAACGGAATGAGACTCTGTCTCATAAAAAAAAGAAAAGAAAAAACCCTAAGGGCACATCACTATTCTGCTCAAAACTTTTCATGGGTTCCCACCGTGCTCAAATAAAAACTCTTGAGTCCGCACAAACCCAGCCTACAAGGCCCCTCCTGATCCAGCTCCTGTATGCTCAGACCTCATCTCCCCCACTGCCCCTCACTCGCCAGCCTGGCTGCTGTGTCTCAAACACACCTCAGCACTTTTGCCTTTGCTGTTCCTGCTGTCTGGAAGGGTCACAAATCCCCCACTTCTTTTGGGCCTCCTTTGCTCCAAAAAGACATTTCCTTACAGTGCCAACTAGAAAAGCACCACTTCCAGTCAGCCCTGCCCTGTGTCTAGAACAGCAGAGAAGCACTCCATAGCAATGGCTGAATAAACAGAACTAGAATAAAGGCGTTCAGGCAGAGTTGAGCATCTCTCTTTATCTGACCTTTCAAACAGGCAATCTGAAGGGGTCACTTCCCAAACAGCAGGGAAAAGAACAGGAGCCAAGAAAAGTCAGTCCAAAAAGCACCAGAGCCTTCTGGGGTATGGAGAGTAGGACTAGCTGGCTGAAGTCAGGGCAGAAGACAAAGCTGAAGAGCTGGTCGGGCACAGGGCATGCGTACTTTTTATTTATTTAGAGACAGGGTCTCGCTCTGTCACCCAGGCTGGAGTGCAGGGGTGCAATCATAGCTCACTGGAGCCTCGACATCCCAGGCCCAGGTAAGTCTCCCATGTCCACCTCCTGTGTAGCTGGGACTAGAGGTGCACGCCACCATGCTTGACTAGCTTTTGTATCTGTAGTAGAAACATGGTTTCATCATGTTTCCCAGGCTGCTCATCAACTCCTGGACTCAAGCAACCCTCCGGCCTCAACCTCTCAAAGTGCTGGGAATACAGGCATAAGCCACCCACCATACCCCGCCAGAGCGTGTGTACTTAATTTGTTAACAGGGAATTACTGATTAAGTTGGAGATGAGTGACTCATCAGGATCTGCCCTAGGGTAATGTAATTTACTCCACTGATGAAGTGAAGGTTAAGACCAGCAGCAGGGAAAACTAGCCACCAAATGAAAGAGAAGTAACCAGATAGGAGAGCGAGGTAGGGAAGGAAAGGGTGGGACATGCCACAAGACAGGACCATCCCCTGAGAAATCCATGGGTAGAGAAGAGCCACAGTCTATGCTGGGCTCTAAATCTAGGTGGCTAAGAAACGGTGTATTTTAAAGAAATATACCGGGCATGGTGGCGCACTCCTGTAACCCCAGCACTTTGAGAAGCCAGGGTGGGAGGATGGCTTGAACCCAGGAGTTTTGAGACCAACCTGGACAGTAAGTCGAGACCCCGTCTATGCAAAAACAGTGTTTAAAAAAGTTAACCCGGTGTGGTGGCACGGGCCTGCAGTCCCAGCTACTTGGGAGGCTGTGCCAGGAGGGTCGCATGAGACAAGAGGTCGAGGCTGCCGGTGATGGCGCCATGGCATTCCAGCCTGGGTGACAGAGGGAGACCTTTTCTCAAGAAAAAGAAATTTAAAAAAAGAAACTGGGGCTGGGCGTGGTGACTCACGCCTATAATCCCAGCGCTTTGAGAGGTGAGGCGGTTGGATCACTTGAGGTCAGGAATTCGAGACCAGCCTGGCCAGAGCAAGGCTCTGTCTCAAAAAAGAGAGAGATTGTGACAGCGAGGAACTGACAATCCAGACACGCCACGTGTACCCATTTACCCTTAAGGGTCCCCAGGCAGGCTTTCCGCCCCGGAGTTTATTCCCTACTGAGGACTCCTACTTCCAAAAGCAAGTCTTATTTGTCCTAAATCTCAGCATCTCGAATCCCGCAAAAACAGAAAGTAGACTGGCAAAGGGGGAAGGCCCTCAGACCCAAAGAAACCCCTGACATCTGCGAGCTCAGACTTCTCCCACCAGGCCCCAGACCCCGGCGTCTCCCCCTGGTTCCTCTCCAAACAGCCCCAGGCCGCCGCGGGCTCTATTCGGAAAGAGTGGCAGATTTTAAGCAGAGCTCGGAGCGCAGGCGGCCATAAAAGCCTCTCCCGGAAGCGGGCCCCGAAACTCGAGCACCAACGGCCGGCCCCAGCCCCTGCACATGCGCCCCGGTGCCCAACGGCCACTACGCAGCGCCAGACACCCAAACGCCCCGACCCCCTCGTCTCGCGACCCCTTCTCCTCCTCTCCTTAGCTCCCAACGTCTCCCCTCGTCCGCCCGTTCTCAGGCGAGACGTCTCCACACCGCGGTCCCGCGCCGGGGATCGGCCGCTCACCTGGCTCGCAGTTCTTCGCGTGCTGCTAGGAGAGCCTTCCGACTTCGGTTATCTGCCGGGAGCTCAGGCACGAGCTGCCGCGCTTCCTGCCTCCTGCGTCTGGCTACTGCTCTCTTCACTGGGACCCTGCCTTTTCAATCAAGAGAGACGGAAGCGGTGATTGGGTTCTGTGGAAGGGACCGGGAGATTATTGGTGGAGAGGGAAAAAAAAAATAGGGCGTGTCTTACGCCTCGCGTTCATTGGTCAATCTAAAAGTAGGCGCGCCACAGTGAGCCGACTGAGACGGGCGCAGACTGCGCGCGATCTTGTGATCTGGGCGTGGCGCTCTATGGGTGCCGCCATGCTTACTGAAGACCAGCTGATTGCCCCAGGGCGTGTGCCCCACCCTTTTAAAGCGCGGCTTTTGCGCCGGCAGCCGAAACCGGAACCGTCGGAGTTGCTTTCAATCTGCGGCCTGGTGGTCTTCCACAGTGAAAGCTCTGAAAAGAACAGGGAGCTTGGAGTGACTCAAGTGGAGAGGACATTTTGTACTATTTGTATTTCTATCACCGCAGGATACTTTGTCTCCTTCAATTTCACATAAGTAGAGTTGTCTTTTGTGTCTGACTTTTGCTCAACAATTTTTTTTTTTTTTTTTTTTTTTTTGAGACAGAGTCTCGCTCTGTCGCCCAGGCTGGAGTGCAGTGGCACAATCTCAGCTCACCACAACCTCCGCCTCCTGGGTTCAAGTGATTGTCCTGCCTCAGCCTCCTGAGTAGCTGGGACTAAAAGCGGTCGCCACCACACCTGGCTAATTTTCACATTTTTAGTAGAGATGAGATTTCGCCATGTTGGCCAGTGTGGTCTTGAACTCCTGGCCTCATGTGCTCCGCCCACTTCAGCCTCCCAAAGTGCTGGGATTACATGAGCCACCGTGCCTGCCCTTCCTTCCTTCCGTCCCTCCCTCCCTCCTTCCGTCCCTCCGTCCCTCCCTCCTTCCGTCCCTCCCTCCCTGCCTGCCTCCCTCCCTCCCTCCCTCCCTCCCTCCTTCCTTCCTTCCTTCCTTCCTTCCCGTACCATACCCAGCTAATTTTAAAAAATTTTGTAAAGATGGGGTTTCGCAGGCCGGGTGTGGTGGCTCCCACCTGTAATACCAGCACTTTTTGGGGCTGAGGTGGGTGGATCACCTGAGGTCAGGAGTTTGAGACTGGCCTCGCCAACATGGTGAAACTGTCTCTACTAAAAGACAGACATGGTGGTGGGCACCTGTAATCCCAGCTACTGAGGAGGCTGAGGCAGGAGAATCACTTGAACCAGGGAGGTGTAGAGGTTGCAGTAAGCTGAGATCACACCACTGCAGTCCAGCCTGGGCAACAGAGCCAGACTCTGTCTCAAAAAACAAAAAAAGACCAGGTGCAGTGGCTCACACCTGTAATCCCAGCACTTTGGGAGGCCAAGGCAGGCAGATTACCAGGTCAGGAGGTCAAGACCATCCTGGCCAACACGGTGAAACCATGTTATTTTTGTATTTAAAAATACAAAAAATTAGCTGGGTGTGGTGGCACATGCCTGTAGTCCCAGCTGCTCAGGAGGCTGAGGCAGGAGAATTGCTGGAACCTGGGAGGTGGAGGCTGCAGTGAGTGGAGATCTCGAAACTGCACTCCAGCTTGAACGACAGGAGTGAAACTCCATCTCAAAAAAAAGGACAAGGGTGGACTGAGCCATATTGGTGCCTGAGACAGAAAGGAGAAATCAAGAATCCTGTCTTCATTTGGATTTGTTGCATTAATTTTGATTTTTAAAAAACTATTCTCTCTTCCTTTCTCCGCCATCGTGGTGTGTGCTTTACTCCGTTTCTTGCCATGTCTTCTCACAAGACTTTCCGGATTAAGCGATTCCTGGCCAAGAAACGAAAGCAAAATCGTCCCATTCCCCAGTGGATTCGGATGAAAACTGGTAATAAAATCAGGTACAACTCCACAAGGAGACAGTGGAGAAGAACCAAGCTTGGTCTGTCAGAAATCACACATGCGATGGCACACACGTTTATGCTGTCCGAAGGTCACAATCGAGTGTTACTAAACCAAGCTATCGGGAGACCTTTGAACAGATTCCTTTCTGTATCTGTTATGAAGGCATTAGTTAGTACATCCCACAGTGCTTCCATTATTCACGTTTTAAAAAAAAAGGTTTTGGTTGCCTGGGTTCAGTAATAAATATATGACACCTTTCAAAAAAAAAAAAAAAAAAAAAAAAAAGCTATTGTTGGTGGCTCCTGCCTGTAATCCTAGCACTTTGGGAGGCTGAGGTGAGTGGATCACTTGAGGTCAGGAGTTCTAAACCAGTCTGGCCAACATCGTGGAACCTCGTCTCTACTAAAAATACAAAAAATTAGCCAGGGATGTGGTGGACACCTGTAATCCCAGCTACTTGGGAGGCTGAGTCAGGAGAATTGCTTGAACCTGGATGCAGAGGTTGCCGTCAGCTGAGATTGCGCTGTCACACTCTAGCCTGGGAAACAAAGTGAGACTCCATCTCAAAAAACAAAAACAAACAAACAAAGAACTGTCACCTATTTGGGGCTACTCGGGAAGCTGAAGCAGAAAGATCCCTTGAGACCAGGAATTCCAGACCACCTTGGGCAACACAGCAAGACCCATCTGAAAGAAAAAATTAAAAGATAAACAAATGGCGGGGCGCAGGGGCTCATACCTATAATCCCAGTACTTTGGGAGGCCGAGGCAGGCAGATTACCTGAGGTGAACAGTTCAAGACCAGCCTGACCAACATGGAGAAGCCATGTCTCTACTAAAAATACAAAAATTAGCCAGGTATGGTGGTGCATGCCTTTAATCCCAGCAACTAGGGAGGCTGAAGCAGGAAAATCACTTGAACCTGGGAGCCAGAGGTTGGAGTGAGCTGAGATCACACCATTGCACTCCAGCCTGGGCGACAGAGCGAGACTGCGTCTCAAAAAAAAAAGAAAGAAAGAAACCCCATCTCTACCAAAAATACAAAAATTGGCTGGGCGTAGTGGCTCACGCCTGTAATCCAAGCACTACAAAAAAAATAATAAAATTAAAAACATTTGGGCCAGGCACGGTGGCTCTTTCTCTCTTGTTGCCCAGACTGGATTGTAACGGCCCAATCTCAGCTCACTACCACCTCCGCCTCCCAGGTTCAAGCAATTCTTCTGCCTCACCCTCCCAAGTAGCTGGGATTACAGGGGCAGCTCCCCGACCAACACCACCAGCTAGTTTTGTATTTTTAGTAGAGATGGGGTTTCACCATGTTGGTCAGGCTGGTCTTCAACTCCTGACCTCAGGTGATCCACCCTCCTCAGCTTCCCAAAGTGCTGGGATTACAGGTGTGAGCCACCACACCCAGCCACAGCGGTATTTTTTTTTTTTTTTTTTTTTTTTGAAAGGGAGTCTATTCACCACTTTCTTGGCTTAAGAAATAAAAAAATAAAAAATGAAAATAAAGGGAGTCTACAGCACCTAGCCTGGAGTTCAGTGTCCCACTCTCAGCTCACTGCAACCTCCGTCTTCCAGGTTTAAGCAATTCTTCTGCCTCAGCCTCCCAAGTAGCTGGGATTACAGGCACACACCACTATGCCTAGCTAATTTTTATATTTTTAATAAAGATGGGGTTTTACCATGTTGGCTACGCTGGTCTTGAACTCCTGACCTCAGGTGATCCTGCCTCGGCTTCCCAAAGTGCTGAGATTATAGGCCTGAGCCACTGTGCCCAACCTGAAAGATATAAAAAAATTTCAACAAGCCCACCTGAACGGCTAAAAAGCAAAAGACCAGCCCAGCTACTGTAGTCCCATCGACTTGGGAGGCCATGGCGGGAGGATCGCTTGAGGCCAGGAGTTCAAGACCAGCCTGGGCAACATAGTGAGACCTCATCTCTACAAAAAAAAAAAAAAAAAAAAAAAAAAAAAATTAAGGCCGGGCACTGTGGCTCACGCCAGTAATCCCAGCATTTCGGGAGGCTGAGGCATGCGGATCACCTGAGGTCAGGAGTTCGATACCAGCCTGGCTAACATGGTGAAACCCCATCTCTAAAAAAGAAAACATTTTTAAATATATAAACAAATAAAATATAAAAATTAGCCAAGCATGGTTGGCTGACACCTGTACTCCCACTACTGGGGAGGCTAAGGCAGGAGGATTGCTTAAGCCCAGGAGTTTGAGGCTGAAGTAAGCTATGACTGCCCTACTGCACTCCAGCCTGAGTGACAGAGCAAGATCCAGTGTCTAAAATAAATGAATGAATAACATGTCGTAAAGTTGAAGTCACCTGTGCTTTACTCCAATTCCATTACTGTCAGCACAGAAACAACATCCTAAAGAAAAGCAGTTTTAGTGAAAAATTACTGCAGCCAACTTTACAAGAATTACAGTCATGGGGTCACATAATGACAGGGATATGTTGAGAAATGTCTCCTGAGGCAATTTCTTCATTCTATGAACATCATGGAGTTTAATATACTTTGGATTTTGTCTGCTCCAAATCTCATGTTGAAATGTGATCCTCCTTGAGCCCAAGAGGTTGAGGCTGCAGTGAGCCGCGTTCATGCCACTGCGCTCCAGCCTGGGGAACAGAGTGAGACCGTCTCCAAAAGAGGGGTGCCGGTGTGGTGGCTCACACCTGTAACACCAACATTTTGGGAGGCCTAGGCCGGTGGATCACTTGAGGTCAGGAGTTAGAGATCAGCCTAAACAACATGGCGAAACCCCATCTCTACTAAAAATAGAAAGATTAGTCAGGCGTGGTTGCGGGCACCTGTAATCTCAACTACTTGAGAGGCTGAGTCATGAGAATTGCCTGAACCCGGGAGACTAAGGTCGCACTGAGCCAAGATTACATCACTGCACAGCAGCCTGGACTACAGAGTAAGAGCGTCTCAAAAAAAAAAAAAAAAAAAAAAAAAAAAAAGAAAGAGGGAGAGACAGGAAAAAAAGAGAAGGAAAGAAATAAGGAAAGAAAGAAAAGACCAGCCTGACCAACATGGTGACATCCTGTCTCTACTAAAAATACAAAAATTAGCCAGGTGTGGTGGCACACACCTGTAATCCCAGCTACTCAGGAGCCTGAGGCAGGAGAATCACTTGAACCCACGAGGTGGAGGTTGCAGGAAGCCGAAGTTGCAGCATCTGGAACCAGCCCCCGCTCCAGTTTCATCAGCCCTAAAAACTGTGGCCGTGACTTCTGATGCGGGGTTTGTTCATCCATTTACCATGTGGCTGTTTATTGAACAACTGCTATGTGCTAGACCCTGTTTTAGGAGCCAGGGACCCAGCAGTGAACAAAACTGATCCCTGTCCTTGGAGAGCTGACATCCTCCTGGGAGAGAGCAAGAAACAAAATAGTAGAAAAAAATTCATTAAAATGTGCAAGGAAGAAAAATCAAGCCATGTGAGGAGTGGTGTTTGGTAGGAATGAGGTGGGGCTTGGGCTTGTTTTCCATGGTGGTGCAGTCAGGGAAGAC